TCCTCCTACTCCCAGGAGCCAACCCCGTCATACTCGCAACAGCCGCCTTCTTCCTACTCCCAGGAGCCAACCCCCTCATACTCGCAACAGCCACCATCCTCCTACCCCCAGGAGCCAACCCCCTCATACTCGCAACAGCCACCATCCTCCTACTCCCAGGAGCCAACCCCGTCATACTCGCAACAGCCGCCTTCTTCCTACTCCCAGGAGCCAACCCCCTCATACTCGCAACAGCCACCATCCTCCTACCCCCAGGAGCCAACCCCTTCTTATTCTCAACAACCGCCATCATCCTACCCTCAAGAGCCTACCCCATCCTACCCTCAGCAACCTCCCTCCTACTCTCAGGAGCCTACCCCATCCTACCCTCAGCAACCCCCTCCAGTTACCTCATATGTTCCATTGCGGAGGTTCGTCTTTTTCTAAGCGAGACATGAACGATAACTTTTGCAAGAGCGGAAAGCAGAGGAGCCCATTGACTATGCTTCAAATACCTCCAACCCGCGTCTAGTATTTTCATGATTTTACAGTTCATTTCATTCATCTATCTCATGATCAATCATATCCCTCAATTCCATAACCTCCAACGGACATCTGTTGCTCTCCCATTTTACTTTACCCTCTTCCGCCCTCTTTACTCAGTGCTTTTTTCAAATTATTCCCGTATACGTATAGCATTAGCGGCACTTCGACTCCTGTCTTTCCTTTTATGACCCCTCATGACTTTAATAATTTTTTTTTTTATATTTATGTTTTTTTCTTTTCCTTTCTTTAATTTTTCTTCGCTTTGAGGGGCTTCTACCATGATCGAGCCGTTGATGTACATGATTTTACGCACCAACACTCCTTACATATGAATTTATAAAAATTGGCATTTAGATTTATTAGGATGAACTCAGCCATGAACCCACATGGCTACGAACGACTATATTATTACTATATTATTAATAAATATATGTGCATATAAATATGAAAATGGAATACCAACTGAAACCCTAACTGAAAACCACGCACCGTAAAAGCGAACTACGGATATACTGTAATTAGAAGCCCATCGGACATACAAACATGCAACTTTCAATAACTACTTGACAGAAATGGCTATTACCAAATTATCATCAAATAAGATAGTTTCAAGGGACGCATTAAAACCCATTCCCC